ATCTGCAATTGTAACAGAACACAGCAATAAATAGGGGGAAAAAATAAGTGCAGCTGTGTTCTAATAAATCTTCAGAGCTGAAATGTGAATTTCATATAATTTTCACATATAACAAAATATCTTTCCTCATTTGATTTTACTTTCAACCACCTGAAAATGTAAAACCATTCTTAAGTCTTGGGCTGCACAAAAATAGGTGGCAGACCAGATTCAGCCCACAGAGGATCCCTGCCCTACAGCAGAGAGGGATGGGTTTTAGGATTGGAAATCAGACAGATCAGGTTGGAATCCCAGCTCTGCCAGATGGCTTTCTCACTCCGATGTTGGGCAGCGGTTCCCAACAAAAGAGGTTGTTTGTTGATGATTAACAGGGGCAGTGTAAGAATTACATGAAATGGAAGAAGAGAAAGCTCCTGGCACCGGTGATGCTCAGTCCTTACTCAGGGTCTCTTGGTCTGAAGTCCGCAGAGATAATTATCTCTACCATAAGCTGTAAACACAGCATCTATTCATCAACATTTGTTATATTATTAACTAACTTGTGATCCCACGGGGGATTCTGAAACAATGAAAAGTCTCCATCATCCTAGCCCTCCCTAAGATGGCAGGAAGAATTTGGAGTAGAAAGACCAAGAGCCAGAGGTAAACCAGCTCTCCAGATTCTGCCAAGACCAAGTGCCACCACCAGGAGAAAGCACAGCCTTCGCCCTCTAACACATGACACTAACGGGATCTACTACCTTAAAGTTACTGGGAGCATTAAGAGTCTATGGGAACTCTGGTACTGGGAGCACAGTGCCTGGCCCTTGGCAGAAGTGCTGCCTCTGCCACCACCATACATCTCTTGAAGACCTGGGAAAGCGCCCTCATCAGTGTCCCCAGGCTCTGAGCACATGGGTGGCAGGAAGGGAGTGGTGTGACTGAATTATTTAGAAGCATATTCCTGTACCAGATTCTGAGCAAGGAGAAAACCTTGATAAATATACACTATTTGGGTGATGGTTACACTAAAAGCCCAGACTTCACCACTACACAACATATCCATGTAACTAAATTGTACTTGTGCCCCTAAATCTATAAAAATTAGATAAGTAAGTGTTTTGTTTTTTTTTTTTTAAAGAAAATCCTGAGATCCTTTTTCTGGTCCCAGGGGAACTCTTGCCCAGGCCGCCGCTGCTGCTGCTAAGCTGCCAGAACGCTGCCCCTGGCAGGGTCTCCACCGGGAAAGTGCTGAGGCCTGCTGAGCGGCTGGGGTCAAGGGTCTTTGGCCATGGATCAGCTCTGCTCCGACTTGCTGCCTCCTGGAAACTGACACCTGACTATGCAAAGTAGTTGAAATAGTCTTTGCAAAGCAAAGAAGCCGTCAGCGTTTTTCCGTGCTGAGAATTCAAACTGTCAGATCCAAGGGGGCTAAAAGAACACGGGTGGGTAGTAACAGTAACATTAATAACCAGCATTTAAACAGTTTTTACCAGGCGTCAGGTAATTTATGTGCAACGACACCAATTATCTCATCTAATCCTCGCAACTCTCACTATCAGAATCTCCACTTTACAAATGGGGAAACTGAGGTCCTAGGGCGTTAAGTAATCAATACGCGGTCTCACGACTAGTAACCGGGACTGGGCTGTCTCATTCCAAAGCCTCCCTTTTACACTCTCTCTCCGTCCTCTCACCCCCGCTCCCGTTCCTCCCCTTTGGAATTCTCTTCCGAGTCACGCCAGACTTTTTGGGTCTGGTGGAGGCCCACGGAGCACCTCCTTGGAGAGCAAAGGCCCAGCGCCCTGGGACTGGCGTGCGCACGCACTCGGAAACAGGAATAGACGCGAGACCTGTGCGCGCACGTGCAAGCAACACGGGTCAAGCGGTGAAAAGGGGCACCCAGCTTCCTCTAGACTGCCCCACTCGGGCTCCACACGAAAGCCCCGGCCACCCCCGCGGAGACCCAGCAGCGCTCAGCCCGCAGCCATTACCCAGTTGCGGGCCCGAAACGCTTCCACGCATCGAGAACCCAGCGCGCCCCTGCCGCCGTATACCAGCACCCGGCGCGCCTCGCCTGCAGCCGCCGCCGCCATCCTGCTCCTGGCGGGCCTGGATACCGCAGCTCCGACTCCCTCGAGCCCGAGCGCCGCGCCCCGCCCCGGTCGGCCAACCCCGCCAAGAGGGAACGCGCAGCGGCCGCGTCCCGCTCCGCGCCCGCTGCTGCCGCCTAGCGCGCTGCCACGCTTGGGGCGCCCCGCCACCCGGAGTGACTGTAACCTCGGTCAGGCCCTGCCCAAGGGACGGGGATTTGGCGAAGCCCCGCCTCCCACCCGCGGGCCAGTGCTGAGCCCTGGGGCATGCAGCGAGTGGGGCTAAGGGCCAGGAGGGTGGAGAGCGGGTGTTTTACGAGCATTAATTTGTGAAGTGTCAGCATGTGAAATATAGTATAGTACGATTTTCGACCACTGTTTTGGCAATTTTTTATTTTTAATTATGCATCAAAATAGAGATTTAAATATCCCTACCTGCCGAAAAAACGGAAGAGGTCGCTACGCTCAAGGAGCTGAAAGTTCACTGCGGAGACGAGACAAACCACACTAGGTCTTATTTCTTCTATCTAACCGTACATTTATACCCATTAATCCAAATGGCACTTTTACCACATGAAACTCATCGTCAGACACAGATCCTGGCATTTTCTCCCATGTATATTAGTTATTTCCGCCCATGGCCTGTATCTCTAACACAGAGCCTCTGAACTACAGCACCATGGCCTGTATCTCTAACACAGAGCCTCTGAACTACAGCACTACTGACATTTTGGGCCAGATAATTACTTGTGACAGGTGCTGCCCTGGGCATTGTGGGATATTTACAGCATCCCTGGCCTACATACACTAGAAGTCAATAGCTAGCCCCTACCCCTCACTCATGACAATCAAAAATATCTCCACATTTTACCAGTTGCCTCCTAGGGGCAAATTCATCACTGATAGAGAACCAGAGCTCTAACACTCTCATAACCTTCTTGATAGCAGACCCCTGTATTATATACATCTTTGTGCCACTTCCCACACACACAGCCTTGTACACAGCAGACACAGATGTTTGTTCAGTAAACTTGTGCCAGGTAAAGCACACAGAAATATGTCACTAGAGAAGAGGATGCAGCCAGCAGCACATTTTGTTGTCAGAAGCTTCATTATCAGAAATAGAACTGCTAGGAGGCTGGGTGGAGAGGAGAGCACCATCGATTTCGTGCCCGTTATATCCAAGGCACTGTGCCAAGTGATCTGCCTGTGCTATTTCATTTTACTCCACACGATAATCCTATGCAGATTAGAAAGCTGAGGCATGAGAGTCTCAGACACTTGTCCAGAAGAGTAGGAATTTGAACCCAGGTCTTCAATGGCTAGAGTTCCACTTAACCACACCTTTGTTCAGCAAGGCAAAGGCTTGTTGGGAATCAAGTATTTATTTCCCTTAGAGTTTTTCTGAAAACAATTGCTTAACCCTCAAAACACCAAAAGTTGACACAGGTCCATCATTGACAGCAGAAATATGACTCGATATTTACGGATGACTTGTCAAAGCATGCTTAATGTTAAAATAAGAATGTGAACTAACATTATTGATCACTTATTAATGTGCCAAGCAGTCTTCTGAGCCTTTTATATGTATTCTGTTTTTTACCAGAAAAACATTTGCTGTTTCAAAGTCACTGGGATGAAGATGAGCTGTTGTAATTCAAAGACCTGAATTTCAGCCCCAGCACCAACATCCAGTTTTCCGTGAGAGAAATGGCTGAAATCGTACATCTGCTGTTTACCATTAAGGGTTGTTGAAGCATCAGAGGTGAGCAAGCATACGGTCAAAGCATTTTGTACATGGTAAAGTGCCACTCATCTTTCTACAGAGAGATAGAGAGACAGGATCTCGCTCTGTTACTCAGAGTGGCATGATCATAGCTCACTACAGCCTTCAGCTCCTGGGCTCAAGCAATCCTCCAGCCTCAGCCTCCCGTAGCTGGGACTACAGATACACGCCGTCAGGCCCAACTAATTTTTTTTTATTTTTTGTAGAGATAAGGTCTCACTACATTGCCCAGGCTCAGAAATTCTCATCTTTATTTTCATTGTGGAGAGGCCACTAAAGTGAGCCCCAATTATGAGGAAGGAAACTGCCATTTCCATTAATATGTCCCTCTGCTTCCTCGACACTCTTCAAGTGAGATTCCTGGGACCCCTATTGGTTAACAGTGCAACTTCCTGAACCCCTCTTCACCCTTCTGTGACCAACTAAAAAATTTTACTGCTCCACTTCTGCCCAACTTTGGTCCCCAGAGATATGGAGAGAGTGGCTGTTGCCAGTCTCACATGATGTTAAGTTGATATTCAGGAATAAGGTAAAAGTCAAAATGTCAAAGTCCACAGTATAAGATAGAGAAGAAAGAATATTTCATTCCTAGTGTCTACAGATTAAAAGGAAAACCTAGATCTTCCACTATTAGAAGAGATCAATACTCCAGCAGTGTGGCTACTATTTGCTAATATACTAGAAAAACACTTTTCTGTCCCATTTCAGATAACGTAGAAGGAGGTGCAGGAGAGAGGAATGTTAAATGTTGGATTCCAGGCTGTCCCAACAGACACAAATTAATTCTAGTCACAATTTACCCCCAGCAGATTCACACAGTGAGAAATTCATAAGACCCTATTTACATATTTCAGTATTAAAGCCCCAAGAACCAGGGTCATTTGATGGTATTAATAACAGTCCTAAAGATTCTGACAGCAGTGACATTTCAGAGAAAGAAATGCCAGGACACCCACGCATCAGAGAGATCGACATTTGACACTGCGCATTGTTGGCGATATTCAAGTGCTAATCATTCCATTTTTGTTTTCCTTCTACCATATGCATTTTTTGAGATTGGTTTGCATCTCTTTATCATCAGAGCTACTTGGTTTTGCTTATTACTAACTCCTTTATCATTATGAGGTCCACACCAGGGCTATTTAAATACTTCAAACAGGAACAATTAAACCCTCTGCTGAAACATTAGTCTAGGAGGAGATATAAGGTTACTTCCTTCAGTAACACACTCCGCTACATAGTCAGGTGAAGATTGTCTCTGTAGAGGCTTCCGGATGTGGTTATAGTAAACATGGACTGTGCAAGCTTGCGCTGAAGGAGGACGAGGGGATGGACTTAAAATGTTGAAATAGAGTGTTTGGAAGAGCTGACCTTGGAGCAGAGCATTGCCGAGTATCTGAAATATGTCAACGACCCTCACTGCTGCTCGGAGACCTTGGGGATGACCTGCACCCACTAGCATGCCTGGATGGTTCAAAAAGGCGTGGTATGGGCTGGCGTCTTTACTCAGCTTCTCCTCCTTCATCCTGATCATCGTTGCCCTGGTAGTGCCCCACTGGCTGAGTGGGAAAATCCTTTGTCAGACTGGAGTGGATCTGGTCAATGCCACAGACAGAGAGCTGGTCAAGTTCATTGGGGACATTTACTACGGGCTCTTCCGAGGGTGTAAGGTGCGGCAGTGTGGGCTTGGGAGCCGCCAGTCCCAATTCACGAGTAAGTATATTGGGGGCATGGAAGCTGTTTCTAGGCACTTATTTTTGTTACTGTGTAAGAGTGCTTTTGTCTCATTGTGGAATTTGGCTGCTGCCTCAATCTCAGGCATAATGTCAAAGTCCACAGTGAGCCAAGGGTTCTGGACCCACATCAAAAAGATCTTTCCTTCCTTCCTTCTTTTCTTTTTCTGTAGAGGTGTATAGAAACACTAGATAGAAACAAGGATTTGTGCATTTTTGCAGGTTACCTCTATTAATAATGACTATTGAAACATGGGGGGTTTACATGTGTCAGACATTCTACTAAGTACCTCACACCACTTGTCTCCTTAAAGACTTACAACAAACTTATATAGAAGGACTTGTTAATGTTCCCATTTTCCAGAGGAGTACACTGAGGCTTGGAGAGGTTACATAACTTACCTGAGGTCACCCAGCCAGGAAACAGTAGAGCCGGACTCCAGACCAATGCCACGTGACCACAACAAGTGTATGGAGGCTGCCTGCGGAACTGAACCTTTGGGAAGCATGATGAACACTTCCATGTCTACTTTTGTAAAAACTGCATAGTCTGAGAAGATGCACAGGGGCACTGTGCTTGGGTTCTGGAATCAGACTACCCCGGCTGGAACCCCTACTGGAAAGTTTCCTGGCGGGGAGACCTCCAGCAAGGCACTTGCCTGCTCTCTGTGAACGTGAGCGGGCATGGACTTTGGCTGGTGTTCAGTGTGGCATCAGAGCTGCCCAGGATGTAAGCAGAGCAGTCTCCACAAACAGGAATCCAAGCTAGGCTTAGGAATGGGCTTCTGGGAAGGAAAAAACAAAACAGGCCATATTCTGCAAGCCTTTTGAATCGATGAGATCGCTGGTGAAAACAGTGTCCACACAAAACCGTAATTAATCAATACCATGCCAATGCAAGGTGATACAGAACTGTATTCATTCCTTGATTTCTATATTTCAGAATTGTAGTAGTTTATAGATATCTGGCCAAGGTAAATGTCATATTAAATTTATAAGGACAAAAAGCTGGAACCGTTGGCAAATATAATACAAATTGTCATCATTTAAATACACACAAAAAATTATATTTGTTATGTATATTCAAGAACAATATCTCTGGGCATATTTATATTTACCTAGCAATTAGATTAAACCCTGGATATTGAAAAAATAGCGCCATCAAAATTATAACATAAAACTTGAAAATACACACCATAAAGAAATAAAAAAAAGAAATGCTAAAAGCTAACCATGACAACTATAGGGACTGCTCGATTCTGAACTAGATGCTATTGCTATAAATGATGTCATCAGGACTGTAGGGGCCAAGGGAAAACTTCCCCTTTGCGCTCTGAAAGTTCTTTTTTTTTTTTTTGCCCAGGCTGGAGTGCAGTGGCGCGATCTCGGCTCACTGCAAGCTCCGCCTCCCGAGTTCTCCTGCCTCAGCCTCCCGAGTAGCTGGGACTACAGGCGCCCGCCGCCTCGCCCGGCTAATTTTTTGCATTTTTAGTAGAGACGGGGTTTCACCGTGTTAGCCAGGATGGTCTCGATCTCCTGACCTCGTGATCCGCCTGCCTCGACCTCCCAAAGTGCTGGGATTACAGGCGTGAGCCACCGCGCCCGGCCGCGCTCTGAAAGTTCTTTAAACAATCTACTGACAAAAGGCAGATTAATAGGGAAAATGGCATACACATTTATTAGCACGCATAGGGGAAAATCACAGAGTCATTGTCCACTATCTCAATGGGGTACAGATGGTTATATCCTCTTCATCTTAGAGGAAAGGGAGATGGGGAAGTGTGGATGATTTTAGGGGACTAGTAAATTATTTTTAGGGAAATTCAATGGGCTTGCAGAACATACAATGAGCTGGGACAAAGTCTGTTGGGCCCACAGGGCAGACATTGGCTTGTGACAAAAGTCTGTCCAGCTGTGTTAACAGACTTCAGTCTTCCTTCCTGTGATATGGGTACAATTAATGAACACTCAGGAAAGGGACCAGAGGTCTTTTTCTTCGGTGGGTCTGGACGTAGGCAGATAAGGGAACGTCAGAAAAGTACCTCATCCTGTGCTTTAGACAGACAAAGAATGGAGAGACATGAGGGAGAGGAGAGGCCAGAGAGACCTTGAGGCTTCTTCACAAAGCTTCGTATTTGGGGGGTATTGGATTCTGAACCCCAACAGGACAATTGTTGAAACTTGAATAGGGTGAGAAGATTAAACAGCGGTCACATGTCAGCATCAACCTAATGACTAGACACCTGCCATTCCCAGCTCACAGAAATGTAAACTGCTTTGAGTGGGAAGCTGCAAACAAATACGTATTTTGTTTGAGCCTTGGAGGAATTCAGTAAGTACTTCTTGCCTTCCTCCTCCTTCCTTCTTAGGACATCCATGGGAAACGTTTTCGGTTCGTCTAACATGTTCTGGTCTGGAAAGCATCACAACCCTGTGAGAAGCATAAAGGACATTTTATTCTTGTCCCTGAGTAGGAGAGTATTTGAGAAGGTTTTGTTTCCTGCGGCCCTGGGGTTTTCTCAGAGGAGGGTCTATAAACATCCGTTCACAGTACCTTGGATGTGATTCTCTTTCAAAGCATTCACGAGGAGCCTGGGGCCAGGTTCCTCCTGTGCTTGGCTGGCTTTACCCAGATACAGCTCGGGGACACTGATGTTATAAGGTTCTCTAGTGCCAGTCTCGTCTCCTTTAGATTTACAGCTTTTAATTCTAGCACAATGTAACCTCGAAGCAGCTACCGGGTATATCAGAGCCTTCCACAACCTGGAGTCTGTTTCTCCTGGAGTCTCTTTCTGCCATTGACTATCCATCTGTAGGAAAAAAAAAAAAAAATTCCCCGCAGTTGCAGATCAGTGTAGATGGGGATAAAAGTGAAAGTGCTTTGTAAACTGTGGGGTGGGGAGGTTTTACTGGGTCTCCTTCACAAGCAGTCATTTCTCCCATCACGGAGGTGTTCCCAAAAAAATCACCCAGGGGAATCGATTCCCACACCAATCATGGAGAAAACCAGAGAACTATTCATCACAAAGATTAAGGCCCTTTTTTAATACCCAGACCCTATGAAATAAAAACAAGTCAACGTGGCTGTTTGGGTGGCTAGAGAAAGAAAGAGACAAACATTACTTTAGCATTGTCCACACATTCAATTGTACTATGGCATATTTACAGACCATACTCTTAGGAAAACAGGGATGAACAAAACAAACAAGTACCTGCCCTAGAAAAGTTTACCATCTGGCCAGTTACAGTGACTCACCCCTGTAATCCCAGCACTTTGGGGGGCCAAGGCAGGTGGACCACCTGAAGTCAGGAATTTGAGACCAGCCTGGCTGACATGGTGAAACAACATATCTACTAAAAATACAAAAATTAGCCAGGGGTGGTGGCAGGTGCCTGTAATCCCAGCTCCTCAGGAGGCTGAGGCAGGAGAATCACTTGAACCCAGGAGGTGGAGGTTGCAGTGAGCAAAGATTGTGCCATTGCACTCCGGCCTGGGTGAAAAGAGTGAAAATTCATCTCAAAAAAAAAAAAAAAAAAAAGAAAGAAAAAAGAAAAGTTTACCATCTGATAAAGGAGAGGCAGGTAAATATGTACTAGGCACAGAACACAGTATCTGAAGCCACTGCGTTATAGTTCATTTCCTTCCATTTTTACTATGCTAGAGAAGAGATTTTATTACGCCCATTTTACTGATGAGGAAATTAGAGATCAGAGAAATCAATACATAAAATAATTTCTTTAAAAGCACCTAATGTAATAGATTGCTTTGCAGCTTTTAGTTCTGTGGTTCCTCTCTACTTCCTACCCCACACGTATTCCACTAGTGGCCAGGACCTGGGTTTGACTTCAGATGTCCTGCTTTTCTTATTTGCCCTGCTGGGGCAAAAAGGGCTGCCAAACCTCTCTGGGATTCGGAGCAAACAAATTATCTAATAGTCTTAGATGCTGATAGAATGATTAATCAATTCTGGTATTCAAGTGAGTTACCTCTAATGCATAGGAAACAACTATATCTATTCAGATTCAGAATAAGACCTCCAGAATTCAAGACTCTATATTTACAATTTTAAACTTCTAATTATCTGTGCTTTCTGATTTTTCTGCTCTAGCCCTGTAATAGAGTAGTTAAGCTGACACTTTCTTGCTATGGGAGCGTGGCTAAGCTATTTCACTTCTCCAAGCCTCAGTTTCCTCATTTGTAAGTGTGAGAGAGGGTGTCCATGAGCAACAAAACAAAGAATATGTATAAAGCCACCGGCACATAGTCTGCACCCCATATAGGTGGCTGTTGTCATTTATCACCGTGAATCATGTGTTGTCATTTATCACCATGAATAGTGTGTAAGGTCATGGATTTCAAGCGGGAAACTTAAATGTAATTCCTAGTGGGAGACACCTAAAACTCTTGGAGTATGGGTTTCAAATATGAAAGGCAAGGGAACAACAGCTTTCCTAGGGCAGCACTGGGTGTCAGGCGAAGGCAGAGTCACCCCTCAGAAAGAAAGTAGAAAGAACTGGTGCATTAACACTCCTGAGACATGATTCGAATTTCTATTTTTTTCTTCCTTTTTAAAAATAATTTAGGTTAGAGTCAGAACCTTGCTATGTTGCCCAGACTTATCGCCAACCCCTGGCCTCAAGTAATCCCCCCATCTTGGCCCCCAGAAGTGCTGGGATTATAGGCATGAGCCACCGCCCCAGCCTCGAATTTCTAAATAATGACATATATTAAAAAATAATAAAATCTCAATTAACCATGAGGTCTGAGCCCTGAGTTATGTTACAAGAATGTGGGGGTTGAGTGAGATTTGCCCTTTGCCAGTAAGCATTTTTTATATATAGTTAATGCGCTTCCTACTATGAAGACCTAGGACTGGGCACTCTTTACCTCCCTCTCCACATCACTCCATATGCCCCAAATTCCCTGTCCCCCATCATCCTAATATGGTTATTACTCAATTTTTTAAAATCAAATCTGGATAGGGGTTCAATCATTATGTGGATATGATTCTTTCTTTTTAAAAGGTGAATTGTGTACATTATGGACATTATGAATACCTTAATTAATTAATTAATTAATTTATTTATTTATTTAGGCAGAGTCTCGCTCTGTCGCCCAGGCTGGAGTGCAGTGGCACGATCTCGGCTTACCGCAAGCTCCGCCTCCCGGGTTCACGCCATTCTCCTACCTCAGCCTCCCAAGTAGCTGGGACTACAGGCGCCTGCTACCACGCCCGGCTAATTTTTTGTATTTTTAGTAGAGGCGGGGTTTCACCGTGTTAGCCAGGATGGTCTCGATCTCCTGACCTCATGATCCGCCCGCCTCGGCCTCCCAAAGTGCTGGGATTACAGGCATGAGCCACCGCGCCTGGCCACCTTAATTTATTAAATCAATCTATTCACATACTGTTTTTTCTCCAAGCTTTCGCTATTGTAATGAATATCCAATATTTGATCCATGCTTTGAGCACATGTAGGAGTGCTTCTGGAAAATAAATTCCTAGAAGTGAATTTGCTTTAGTAGATGTTGCCACATTGACCTCTAACAAGGTTACATGAATTAATATTTCTACGAGACTTGAGAGTGCCTCTTCCTTACACCATTGTCAACACGGTGTGTTAGCAAACATTTTGATCTTTGCCATTCACATAGGTGACTGTTTTCTATTTTAAGAGTTTGGGTGAGCATTACTATGTTAGTCATGTGTCCTAAGGATTGCCTGGTCAAGAAAGGGGATAATGAAACAATTTAAAAATCAGGCACAAGCGGCCGGGTCTGGTGGCTCATGCCTGTAATCCCAGCACTTTGGGAGGCCAACGTGGGCAGATCACTTGAGGCCAGGAGTTCGAGACCAGCCTGGCCAACATGGTGAACCCCCCCCCACTGAAAATGCAAAAATTAGCCAGGCATGGTGGTGGGTGCCTGTAATCTCAGCTATTGGAAAGGCTGAGGCACGAGAATTGCTTGAATCAGAAAGGAGGAGGTTGCACCAAGCTGAGATGGTGCCACTGCACTCCAGCCTGGGCAACAGAACAAGATTCTGTCTCAAAAATAAAAATAAATAAAAATCAGGCACAAGCTACTGTGTCTGAAACAAAAAGGGGCTGAGGGTTTGAAAAGAGAAAAAAAAAAATCTAAGGGACATTAAGATGGGATAGAGGCACAGGGAAGAAAGATGCTTTACAAAGACAAACTCACTGGAAAGCAGCTCATCTTCCAGGGTAAAGTTTCCAATGCCGATTAGATAACCATAGGGAGATAAAAACAAATGGAAATTCAGAACTGGAAAGAAACATCAGAACTTATAGTGTAAACCTGGAGTGCCTGAAAACGTGTGAGTGGAAAGGACACCTAATGGGAAAAATAAAAACTACTTCTCAGGATTGGGAGACGCCAACCTTCAGTGGCTGAGAGAGGCAGGTGAATCAGCAAAGGAACTAGTTCCATCAGGGTGGGTATTCAGCAGGAACCTTGGAGCAATTGCAGAGGAATGAGTATGCTCAGAAGTTCTGTAGCTTTCATAATGTTCAATTCTTCATTTATAACTACTAAAGATCATGACTTGACACTGTTAAAACACACAGTTGTGAACAACAGTTCTCAGAAAAGGAGTTTTGAGGAAAGACTTTATTCCAGTTAACAGTGTGCAAACCAGGGAAACACAGCCTCTGGTGTAAAAGGAAGGTGTATTCCAGAGAAGAAAGGGAAGGCTCAGGTTTTACAGCAAAAGTTCCCACCCAGGTTTCCAATCAGGTCTGTTTACGTAAATAAAGGATTCAAATTCACTTAGTTCTGATTGGTCGATACAGCTGAACCCTGATTAGCTGATACAGCTGAGCCCTGATTGGTCATTACAGCTGAGCCCTGATTGGCTGAGGCAGATCTCAAAGATAAAAAGGTGTGGGTTTTCAAGGAACTCAGAGGATGTGTGTGACCCCCTAGTCAGTAAATGGCCACTTGGCCCTATTTTAAATTTAGACCCAGTTAACCACTCAGGACCCATCTTGAAGGACTGGCTCTTTCAGGGTCACATTTGTTCTCATAGTATATTGAATTATAAATCTTATATAGAGTATAGAGTTGCCTTGCCCAAACAGAAGCAATTTAATGTCTCCAAGCCTGTGGGTAAAGGGAGTTTATAAAATCTACCTCATGTCTTTGTCACGTGCATTGAACAAGATGACCATGTAAAATGTTTGGCCCATGACTGCACTTAGTAAATGTTGACTATCCTCAATTCATCTGCACGGATTACTATCCCCATTGTACTGATGAAGAAACTGAGGCTTGAGAAGTCACATGACTTTCCCAAGACCGTCAAAATATAACAGCAATAACCACAGCTGCCATTTCTGAGAACTGACTTGACCAGGCAATATTTGAGCTACTCCATTATGCTACGCCATTTCATCTTCACAGCCAGTACTAGTGGCAAACATAGAGAAAACAAATAGAAATTAAGATTTCACTAACTTATTTTGCCATATTCGTAAGGCAAATTAATATTTTAATAAAATGTTGTGCAATGTGAGAATTATGTGTCCTTCACACATGGGGGTAAGCAAGGGCCTACCTTGCTGAGTCTCTGGGGCCTGTGTGCATCAGTTCACATCAGACCCCAGAGCTTCAAGCTCGGTGCAGCTTAAACTGACAGCCAGGATACATTTTGATTTTGTGTCCGCTCCAAGGAAGAGAGGCTTGTTGATCAACTGACAGGCATGAATCTGAGGGCCATGAGTTCATCTCAGAAAATCTCCCGCTGTCTGAAAACCGCATGCTTGCTATCTTGCCTTCACCCCTGTCTGTCGAAGCCTTCATGGTAAGCAAGGTTGGGCTTTATGAAAGTGAGTCTAACTCTGATATTGAAATAGCGGCTGTGTCTTGTCTCCCTAGTCTTCCCACACCTGGTGAAAGAGCTCAACGCAGGCCTTCATGTGATGATTCTGCTGCTCCTCTTCCTGGCCTTGGCCCTGGCTCTGGTCAGCATGGGCTTTGCCATTCTCAACATGATCCAGGTCCCATACCAGGCAGTCAACGGTCCTGGGGGTATCTGCCTATGGAATGTTCTGGCAGGTAAGAAGTCCCTTAGGGAGAGAAAATTGTGTCCACACCATCACAGGGCTGGGCTCCAAGTAGTTGGGCAGAAGGTGTGAAGGAACTAAAATGTGCCACTGGAGCTTTGACCTTCCTGTGTCTAAGACCTTCTTGATGGGCATGGAATGAATGTCCTCTTTTTCTTTTTCTTTTTTGAGACAGGGTCTCATTTTGTCACCCACACTGGAGTGCAGTGGTGCGATCTCAGTTCACTGCAGCCTTGACCTCCTGGGCTCAAGTGATCTTCCCACCTCAGGCCCCCAAGTAGCTGGGAGTACAGGCGTGCACCACCATGCCCAGCTAATTTTTTGTAGTTTTTGTAGAGACGGGGTTTCACCATGTTGCCCAGGCTGGTCTCAAACTCCTGAGGTCAAGGGATCCGCCTTGCTTGGCCTCCCAAAGTGCTCATGAATTTCCTCTTTAAGTTGCAGAGTCTGTCACAATAAAGAACCATCTTATTAGAGTACGTGAATGGCTGAGGACTTAGAGCAGTGAAGAGAGATCGAGGTGAAAGGAGAGGCCAGAAGACAGAGAGCTGAAAGTAGGGAGAGGTGGGGGCCCTGGGACGGGGAAAGAGATGGAGCTGGTGCTGCAGTTGAGGCTGGGAGGAACTCCACCAACGACGGAAGAGAAGGGTATTGTGAGCAAGAGGCCATTTGTGAAAGGCTCCTCCATTCAGGCTCTGGGTTAAGAAGGGGAAGTGAGTGCCATCTAGCTGCCAAGGTCTTTAGTGTTCCCCCCACACACACCTGGGCATATTAATGCAGACAGGGCTCACTGGCTGTCTCAACTCTCCCTCCTCTCACCTTCCCAGCGCCTTCACTGCACCATGCCCTTAAACGAGATGCAACTTACTGAGCAGCCACTAAAACTTAGGCATGGACCTGGGGATTTTGCATGCATTACTTTGTTTACATCTCACCACATCTCTATAGGAGGTATTATTAGACCCACGTTTACAGATGAGGAGCCTGAGGCTCAGAGAAGTTAAACAGTCACACAGCAATGAGTGGCAGAGGTGGTATTCCAACCTAGGCATAACTGATTCTAAGCTCTTTATTTTTCCACAGATCCATGCTCTCGTTTATGACCATCATGACCTATTTTCCAAGCCAAAAACTAAAAGATGTGTGTGTGCGCGCGCGCGCGTGCGCACGCACGCACATGCGTGCATGCATGTTGATTTGGGAGTATATTGATGCACAGAAATTAATTCACATTTAATTATGCACTTAACACATCATCTGTAATGAAAATAACAGAATCTTGTGAAATGAGGGCTATCTCTGAAAACTCAGGTCAAATATTCAAGGTACCATTCAGACAATAACCCCTCACTATGATTACCTTATACAAGAATATCATAAAATATAAAAACAGGTAGTGTTATTTTATTATGTATTATAATGTATATCAAGAAGTCAATTATTATGTGTTTGCCTTTGTTTGCAGATGGTAGCCACCCTGTAGAATTGTTTATATACATGGCTCACCCTCATCAAGACTACAGGTGTCTTTCTCATCTGCATGCATCCTCACAGAGGCTGGCATGTAAAAAGTGCTCAACCCTGCTTTCAATAAATGCTTATCTCTGTCCATTTCTTTCCTCAGAGAGATAGCATTCTCAAACTCTACTGATGAGAGATTAGCAACAGGCAAAATAGCCTGGGCAACATAGCAAGACCCCATTTCTACAAAAATAAGAAATAAAAAAGTTAGCTGTGCGTGGTGTCAGGCGCCTGTAGTCTCGGCTACTTGGGAACTGTAATCCCAACACTTAGGGAGGCTGAGGTGGGAGAACTGCTTGAGCCTGGGAGGTCCAGGCTGTGGCGAACCGTGATCATGCCACTGCACTCCAGCCTCAGCCAACAGAGCAAAACCTTGTTTCAAAAAAAATAAAAATAAAAACAGGTAAAACGTAATGTCTTTTGACAAAAATTTATTTCTTGCCACTGAGCTTAAAAAAAACAAAAACACTGCAGTGTCTAAAGGCATAAAAAGGTGAATAGCCTTTGCATATATTTGGACTAGACAATTCCATGTTTGGATTTATGCTAAGGAAATACTCGACAAGAGAACAAGGATGCACATAAAATGGTATTTGCTGTAGCATTTTATGATATCAAAAATTAGAAGTAATATAGACACCCAGAAATAAGGTCATACTTACATAAATTATAGTGTGTGACCGTATATCTATAATTTAGTAGAGACTGTTTAGTCTTTACTAAAAATACTATGCACTCATTTATAGTAATGCTGTAAGCCTGGCACGGTGACTCATGCCTGTAATCCCAGCACTTGGGGATGCTGAGGCGGGAGGATTGCTTGAGCCCAGGAGTTGAAGACCAGCCTGGGCAACGTCGTGAGACCCCATCTCCACAAACAAACAAAAACCAAAAATTAGCCAAGCATGGTGGCACGCACCCATGATCCCAGCTACTCAGGAGACTGAGGCAAGAGGATCGCTTGAACCCAGGAGGTCAAGGCTGCAATGAGCCATGATCATGCCACTGCACTCTATCCTAGATGACAGAGCAAGACCCTGTCTCAAAAAAAATAAAAACAAACAATAAAGTCGTGCTGTAACAGAATATTTAGCAACACGTAAAAATGTCCAAGTGAGGGGAAAAGATCAAATTTAAAATCCAAGTAAGAACACCATAATACTAATTTTGTTAAAGAGAAAGAAACATAAAGAAAAACACTCAAATGTTGAAAGTGTTCATGCTGGCTTTTAGGATAAAAGTAAATTTGTTTATGATTTTCTCTAGTGTCCAAATTTTTCTTCGATGAAGATAATAATCTTTTAAGAAGCATCATAAATGTGTTATTAAAAATATTAATTAAAATTGAAACCAGAGGAAGAGGAGGGAGAGAGAGAGAAAGAGAGAGTGAGATTCCTCCCAGAAGGTCAAAGTTTCAAGCAAAACATAGGGAAGTAGTTTGGAATTCTTCCAGTTTTCGCCTCCCTCCTTTCCTCCTTCTATGAGTGGTCATCCTTATCCTTAAGCATGGAAGGAGGATAATTAAAGAGGAGAGCAACAGTTTTTCTTACATCTTGCCACATAGCCTTCATGGTCTTCATAGAAATCCTGAGATATTTTAGACAATGAACTTCTCCAAATGTGGATCCCCGGGAAGCATGGTACTGGGTAAGGGGAAAAATTGGAAGAGTGGGCCAGGTGCAGTGGCTCAAACGCCTGTATTTCCAGCACTTTGGGAGGCCAAGGCGAATGGATCACTTGAGATCAGGAGTTCGAGACCAGCCTGGGCAACATGATGAAACCCCGTCTCTACTAAAAATACAAAAATTAGCCAGATGTGGTGACAGGCACCTGTAGTCCCAGCTACTTGGGAGGCTGAGGCAGGAGAATCACTTGAATCCAGGTGGTGGAGGTTGCAGTCAGCTGAGATGGCGTCACTGCACTCCAGCCTGGGTGATAGAGCAAGACTCCATCTCAATAAATAAATAAACAAATAAATAAATAAATAAAAATTGGAGGGGTGGAAATTCAAAGTTGATCTGATATAAAGCAGATTCTCTCTTTCCCCGCACAATCCTACCTTTCTCCTTCATACTGTGTGAGTTAGCTCCTACTTTTAAAAGCAAATTAAAACTTATGTCTTCCTCATAACTTTTTTAACCCAAAGCAAGCTTGTCACACGTGGCACAGAAATGCCACCTCTCATAGAGTTGTCACAATCGCAAAAAGGAGCCGTGAATGAGGGTGACCTTTTTGGGTTTCAGGTGGAGTCGTGGCGTTAGCCATAGCCAGCTTCATGGCTGCGGTGAAATTTCATGACCTGACAGAACGAATCGCCAACTTTCAGGAGAAGCTCTTCCAGTTTGTGGTGCTGGAAGAACAGTATGAAGAGTCGTTTTGGATCTGCGTGGCCAGCGCGTTGGCCCACGCCGCAAACTTGGTCGTGGTGGCGATCAGTCATATTCCCCTCCCTGAGATTAAGACCAAGATCGAAGAGGCCACTGTCACGGCTGAGGATATCTTGTATTAATAGCCTTCCCCTGTTCACACCCTGGCCTAAGTCAGTTCGTGTGCGAATGGAGTCCTCGTGTTTTTGCAGCCTTCCCACTCCGTCACGGCCATGTTCTCAGCAGTTAAGAAAAAGGATATGAAGGACCAAGGCTGTTGCCTGGGCCAGAAAAGAAAAACTTGCCCGGGATCCCCAGCGTTCTTGCATTCCTCTCTCATGACGTTGGAGTTCCAGTTGCAGCTGGAGACTCTGCCACTTGCCAGCTTAAGCATAGTAACAACTTCCCAAGGCCGTTGTGAAGTTTAAATGGGTGATAATATTGCCAGATTCTGCATTCTGTAGAGCATTTGACAAATATAAGATACTACAGACTTCAGTAAGTGTCTGTAGATCCCTGGTCGATTCCATTTACAATATTGGGCTGGTGAGTGGGGAAGAATTCTCAGAGGAATATGATACTGTTCCTATTCCTGCCCTCCAGAAACACCTAATCTTTCCACATGACATAGGACTTAGCAACGGTAACACTAAGAATGAAAATAACTGCCATTTTTTGAGTGGTTACTATGTGTAAGACACTGTTCTCACTCATTTATTACTCATCAGGTCCTAATGGCAAAAACAGCAATTACTTTTGCACCAACCTGATAAAAGAACAGCCATAAGGGACCAAGGAGGGAATTAAATCTTGGGGATGGGATGTGGTGCTAAAGAAAGTATCACAGTGTGAACATTTGATCTGAGTTGTGAAAGATGAGTAGATTTTTCCAGTGGTGAAGGAAGCAAGGTTGGAGAAGGGCATTCCAGGATGCGTCAGTAAGGAGGCTGGGCATAGGGTGTGAAATTACAAGGAGGGGCCGGGCACGGTGGCTCATGCCTGTAATCCCAGCACTTTGGGAGGCAGAGGCAGGCAGATCGTGAGGTCAGGAGTTCGAGACCAGCCTGGCCAATATGGTGAAACCCCATCTCTACTAAAAATACAAAAATCAGCCAGTCGTGGCGATGCGCACCTGTAGTCCCAGCTACTCAAGAGGCTGAGGCAGAAGAATTGCTTGAACCCGGGAGGCAGAGGTTGCAGTGAGCCAAGGTCATGCCACTGTACTCCAGCCTGGGCGACAGAGTGAGACTCCATCTCAAAAAAAAAAAGAAAAGAAAAAGAAATTTCAACGAGGGCTTAGAGGCATGTGAGTACTCAATGGGACTAGAATGTTGCTTTCATCACCTGTTGGAGATATTCAGCAGTTTTGTGTTGAGTTTTCCTAAGTGCCACTGGAATGGTTAATTTTTTGTGTCACCTTGACTGGACCACAGCAACCACATATTTGGTCAAACACTTCTAGATGTTTTTTCAAAGGTGTTTTTTGAGGAGATTAACATTTACATTTGTGTATTTTGAGTAAAACAGATTACCATCTGTAATTGGATGGTAATTCCCTCATCCAATCTGTTGAAGGCCCTAATAGAAAAAAGGCCTAGCTCCCCTGAGGGAGAGAGAACTCTGCCAGCAGACTTTTTGGACTCAAACTGCAACTGTCACTGGATCTCCAGCCTGCCCACCTAGCCTCAAGATTCTGGAATTGCTGGCCTCCTGAGTCATGTGAGACAATTCCTTAAAATACCCACCTCTTTCTCTCTGTCACTAAACACACGCACCCACACACACACACAGCCTGTTGGCTCTGTTCCTCTGGAGAACCCTGACTAACAGAGGTACACAACTATATGAACTAATTTTCCCATGATGCCAGCTGGGATGAATCCTTTCCCAGGTCTCCTATCTTCATGTCATGCAAATGTTATCTAATGCAATCCTTTTGTAGTTCATGAGGATGATGATTGAGTTTTCATGCACGTGTGTGAGATGTGCCACCCTGGAACCTTGTTATGACATCCGCACGTTACCCATCTGATCTGAAGGAAAAAAAAAGGAAAATGATTTTTTTTTTTTTAAACAGAGCTTTGCTCTTGTTGTCCAGGCTGGAGTGCAATGGCACGATCTCAGCTCACTGCAGCCTCCGCCTCTCGGGTTCAAGCAATTCTCCTGCTTCAGCCTCCCAAGGAGCTGAGATTACAGGTGTGTGCCACCACTCCCAGCTAATTTTGTATTTTTAGTAGAGATAGGTTTTCACCATGTTGGTCAGGCTGGTCTCAAACTTCTGACCTCAAGTGATCCACCCACCTCAGCCTCCCAAAGTGCTGTGATTACAGGCATGAGCCACCATGCCCAACCTGGGAAATTTTTTTTTTTAAGTTATCTAATCCCCCAAATTAGCTCCATCTAAAATGACGCCTGATTTGGTGACTTCAGGAAGTGCTCACGTCATCTCTTCTTTATAATTCCTCGCTGCGCTCATCTGCCCCTTTCAGCCCTTTTTCCACATCCCAGGCATAGTTTCAGCACTATTTAGTGGACTGATGTCACTCACCAAAGATGCAGATGGCACATGGCTAGAAGAGACAGTTATGTTATAGGAGACAGATCCAAAAGAGACAGTTAATGTGATAGGAGATGGATCCAAAAGATAGTGAGAGACTGCCAAGCTGTCTTGAAAACAAGAGGAAATGTCAATATCATATCAAGTTTGAACACAAAGTCCTGCTGATGGGTTTTTTAAAAATCAACATAAATACAGAAAATCTGACAACAGTTTATATTACAAGTGTCTGAGGATCTTGGTACATTTATTCACTCGACAGTATTGATATTGATGTAGTGCTGGGACTAAAGCAGTGAGCTGACAAAAATCCCTGCCCTCCAGACATTTCATTCTCCCAGCAGCTGGGGATGAAACATACTGAGCAGGCTTGTGATGGAGCTATTTGAAAAGTTAGCACGGTGGCCAGGCATGGTGGCTCATGCCTGTAATTACAGCACTTTGGGAAGCCAAGGAGGGAGGACTGCTTGAGTCTAGGAGTTCAGCCTGGACAACACAGGGAGACCTTCTCTCTCTGTTTCCAAAAATAAAAATAAAAAGTCATCAGGGCCATAGCCTTTGAACTGATCACTGCCTTCAGTCATATGCAGACTATCATGCCAAGAAGGGGGCAGAGTGGGCCAGGCACAGTAGCTCATGCCTGTAATCCCAGTATTTTGGGAGACTGAGGTGGGTGGATCACCTGAGGTCAGGAGTTCAAGACCAGCCTAGCCAACATGGTGAAACCCCGTCTCTACTAAAAACACAAAAATTAGCTGGGCGTGGTGGCAGATGCCTGTAATCCCAGCTGCTCAGGAGGCTGAGGCAGGAGAATTGCTTGAACCCAGGCGAAGGTCGCAGTGAGTCAAGATCACGCCTTTGAACTCTAGCTTGGATGCCAAGAGTGAAACTCTGTTTCACAAAAAAAAAAAAAAAAAAAAAAAAGGGGCAGGGTGAATTCAGTTTTTTTTGAGACATAGTCTTGCTCTGTGGCCCAGGCTGGAATGCAGTGGCGGGATCTTGGCTCACTGCAACCTCCACCTCCTGGGTTCAAGTGATTCTCCAGCCTCAGCCTCCCAAGTAGCTGGGATTACAGGTGCCCGCCACCAAGCCCAGCTAATTTTTTGTATTTTTAGTAGAGACGGGGTTTCACTATGTTGGCCAGGCTGGTCTCAAACTCTTGACCTCAGGCAATTCATGCGCCTCGTTTCCCAAAGTGCTGGGATTACAGGCATGAGCCACCGCGCCCAGCCAGATGTGTTTCAAGAAGTCAAAGTGCAGGCTTTTGTACACATCTGCATTTTTTCTGTGACAGAGTCCATAGCTTTTGAAAGTGTTTCAGGACTATCTATAATGTCTTTAAACCATGAGCTATCAGGTGGCAACCATAATGTTACTGGCAATAATCAGGCTTAGTCTGAAAGACCACCTCTCAGGAATACTGTAAATGAGATTCCTACATGGAATTTAGCAGGTTGAGAGTGGGGGTGGGAAGAAGGGAGATTAAGTATCTGGGTCACAAAATTCACTTGCATTATTTTCAAATGCACAGAGGAAAATGTAGCTCCTTTATCTTGACTATAATTAATGTGGTCATTTTATGAGTAAATAAATAGTAGCTTCGGGAAGGCGGCTGGTCACAGGAAAAGACCAAGGCAGAATTAGAGGGTTGGGACTTCCAGCCCCACCCACACCCATGACTTCTGGGAGGAAAGAGGGGCTGAAGGTTAAGTTGATCACCAATGGCCAATGCTTAATCAATCATGCCTACACAACGAAGCCTCGGCAGAAACCCAAAAGAACTGGGTTTGGAGAGATTGCAGATGGCTGAGCATGTGGAGGTTCCTGGAGGGAGGTGCACCCAGGGAGAGCATGCAAGCTCCGCGCTCCTTCTCCCATACCTTGCTCCATGCGTCTCTTCATCTGTATCCTTTGTGATATCCTTTGTAATAAACCGGTAAATAGAAGTGTTTCCCTGAGTTCTGTGAGCTGCCCCAGCAAATTAGCCAAACCCAAAGTTGTGGGTTTGGCTACTTGGGACCAGTGTCTGAGGGAGGAGGGACAGCTTTGGGGACGGAGCTCTCAGCCTATGGGACCTGATTCTATCACCAGGTGGATAGTGTCAGAACTGACTTAGAGCGTACCCAGCCGGTGTCTGCTGCAGAGCTGACTGCTTATTGGTTGATGGAGGGAAATTCCCCACATTTGGTCATCGAAGTCTGCTGTATTAATTGTTGTTGAGAGTAGTTTGAGAGCTGAGAAAAACACTGAGTTCTTTCCTCTCAGAGGTCATTCATTATCTTATGTGGGCCAGGCACTGTACACTTTCTCCTTAATTCTGATAACAATTATTCAAGATAAATATCAGTGTCTTTTTTTAACAGATGGGTAACTTTAGGTTTGGAGAATTTAAGGAACTTGCTCAGCCTCATTGCTAATAAATAATGGAGAAAGACTTCAGCCCTGATTTATATGATGTCAAGGCCACCACTTTTCCAATACAGCAAGATTATTGCCTTGAATCACCCTTGAGGCTCCTTCTCAGGGTTTCTGCAAGTGGCTGTGCAGGTTGCACCCTGCCCAAGGGAGGTGAAGTATAGGAGGCGAGGGACTAGCCCAAGTGCCCCTGGCTTCTCCTGGCCTCATCCACAAGGGTGCTTTCTCCTAAAGGGGGCGCCTTTTCCCAAGGCTCACAAAGGTGTCC